ACTCCAGCGGAATGTTTATGTCGACTTTGCTTGACTTGTTGAGTGAACTAGTGTGAGGCTAACTGCTGGGATGGAGAGTTACCCGGTTGTGTTCAGTCGCTGATGGGGGTGAGGGGAGTATGAGTGAGGGAGAGGAGGCCTACCTGCACGAAGTATAAATTGGAGTGTCCACCTGTGAGGTAACGGCGCGACTATTGCTGCGATTTGGGAGTTTGTCAAAGGAGGCGGTTTTCGGCCGTTTGACCCAGAATTTTGACCAAGCTGGTACATTGGCCGCCATTGCGGGGCCCTCAGGCGATCCAAGATTACAAGGCCCTCTCGAGCGAGACTGAGAGCACCATTCTTGGATTTGAGCGACTATAAATTTCCTCATTCTGCCCTTCTTACTCTCAGTCTGGTCCTTCGTTACGAGAGGAAGGCGGCAGGCGGGATTGCAACCCGTGTGGGGAGTCCACCCACCGATTGCGGGAGCTCTGCCGGAACTCAGAAGGGGTTCAGGAGGCAGGGAACCTTCAGGTAAATCATCTTTATCTGTATGACCCACTATTACCCATGTTTGCCTATCTCCCTGTAATATGATTGATGTATGCATGAATTGTCCCTATGGTTTTTGTTTTTCTCTTCAGGACCTAATCAGATTGAATGGAAAAAATGTATGAGAGTGAAGCATAAGTTTCAGTTTACTTTCGACTGAAAGCAGATTAAGGTATGAAATGGGGGAAAGGTGGGAGGAAGGCAGTTTTGCATGCGTTTGACAGGGCCAACCAAAGCCTGAGCATTGTTTCTACTGTGAATGGCTCAGGGCTATGTTTATTTGACTGTTTTCTGAAGAATCAGGCATTGTTTCTACTGTGAATGGTCTGGTTGCTATGTTTATTTTATTGTTTTCTAGGGAACCAGACATTGTTTCTATTGTGAATGGCCTGGCTACTCTAGTTAACTCTGAGGGTTTCTGCCTGATTGAAAGGATTTAAATTCTTGGTTTATTCTGAGGGAGGATTTTTTGTCTAAGGCTAAGCATTGTTTCCATGGTGAATGGCTTAGCCTGAAAGCCACGCACATAAATTAAACTAAGTATAAAGGAAAGTACTTTATGTATATTTGCATGTGAACTGGCAGCTGGGCATTGTTTCTACTGTGAATGGTCCAGCGTTAAGCCATATCATTGAGAAGAGAGAAGGGAAAATGCAGAGTATAAATGGAAGTAGTTTGGGGCAAGCTGAACATCGTTTCTACTGTGAATGGTTCAGTCCCCTGCCCATAGTTGTCTTTCTTTTTATCAAAGTCAGAGAAATATTAAAATCTTTGGATATTAAACAGCTCAGGGCGACTAGGCATTGTTTCCATGGCGAATGACTTAGTCATCTGCCCAAAAGAAGAAAAAAGTAGTTGTGCAACATGTTCGTGTATATCATAAAGACAAGTTGCGCATTGTTTCCATGGCGAATGGTCCAACTCTATGTCTTATGTAAGATGGGTATAAGGATTCAAGAACTTAAAGATTCACGAACTATTTATATGGAATGAACTTCGGAKGGTGAGAGTACTTACATTCGTGGTTTGGTTTGCATGTGACTGAATGGGATGACTAGTTTTGTTTGGGTTTCATTACTATAGGTAGTTGTTGTAGTTGCTCGCCACGTGCTAGAGCCATAGGAGTTAGTGTTGATTCCTGCATTTTCTGTAATAACGTTTTTTGTTACCTAGGTCAATTCCTGCATTTTCTGAGATATTTTCTTATACTTGGCTTTGTATAAATCTTGGCGAGCCACTTTTCTTACGGGAAGCGCTGCCGAAATTTCTATACATCCAAGAAGTTAGTTAACTTTTGACTTGTCAGAGTTCAGCTTGTCCTTTCCATATATCTGACTTAGTTAAAATCAGGGAAGTCTCCTTTTCTAAAGGGACTGCTGCCCAAATTTTTGCTAATTAAGGGAGTTAGACAAAATTGAACTTTGGGAAGCCAAAGTTATTCTCAAATTCTGGACCTCGCTTTGTATAAATTTTGGAAGTTTCCCTTTCTAAAGAAGTGCTGCCCAAATTTCTACTAAATCAGAGAGTTAGACAGAATTTGACTTTTCAGAGTTAGAGATTAATTCTGCTTTCATATCTGACTTAGTATAAATCTGGGAAGTCTCCCTTTCTAAAGGGAGTGCTGCCCAAATTTCTACTAAT